AAAAAATAGCCGGGCATGGTAGCGCGTGCCTGTAATTCCAGCTACTCGGAAGGCTGAGGCGGAAGGATCGCCGGGGCCCAGCAGGTGGAGGCTGCGGTGGCCAGGAGCGGCCAATGCACTCCAGTCTGGGCGACAGAGTGAGGCTCCAACTCAAAAAAAAAAAGTAAATTACAGAGAGAGAGAGAAAGAAAAGATTCACCTCCCCAAGGTAGGTTAGGAGGCCAAAGCCAGGAAGCATGGCAACAGGCCTAGCTCAAAAAGCACATGGCCACACCAGAGTCTAGCAAAGCAATGGCGGTGATGTTCTGGCAATGGCCGGTACTGTTTCTGTGTTAAGATTCTGCTTTTCAGAAGCTTTCTGGGCAAGGGATGGCATGGTGTTGGGGAAGGCGGAGAAACCCCCCTCCCAAATTCCCTCACACTAGGGAGACAAAACACTAGCTTTGGAGGAAGACAGACCAGGTTTGAAATCAACTCAGCCGCTCGCCAAAGTCTTTAACTGTAAAATGAATCAATTGCTACCTACCTGAGAGTGTGGTTCTGGAGATAAGATGTACGAATATAAGAGGAGCGTACACTCTGGCAAGGTGCCCACACCTCATGGCCCGTGCCTTCTGGAGACGCTGCTTGTCTCTGAGGCAGGAGATGTGCAATTGACCAATGTACATGTGCTTTACTTATTTATTTATTTTTCTGAGTTGGAGTCTCACTCTGTCAACCAGGCTGGAGTGCAGTGGCATGCTCACGGCCACTGCAGCCTCAACCTGCTGAGCTTAGGCGATCCTTCTGCCTCAGCCTTTGGAGTTGCTGGAACTATAGGTATGCGCCACCCCACCTGGCTAATTTTTTGATGTATTGTAGAGATGAGATCTTGCCAAGTTGCCCAGGCTGGTCTCAAACTCATGAGCTCAGGCAACCCTCTCGCCTCGGTCTCTCAAAGTGCTGGGATTATAGGCATGGGCCACAGCGTCCAGCCACACATGTGCTTTTTTTTTTGAGTTGGAGTCTCACTCTGTCGCCCAGACTGGAGTGCAGTGGCCACT